ACACAGAGGGTCTTCTCCTATGGCACCGTCGCAGCATCCTGGGAGCCTTGGATCAGGCACTGGCAGCTCCAGGACTTTTCCTTGTGTGCCACTTGCTCCTGGGAATGCCTTACTGGAATGGGCTTGTTACTTCCAGGCTTTTCCCAGCCATGTGCATCCTCAGGGATTAGTGGAGTCTGCTGATCCCCTCGGCTCCAAGAGACCTGGGTGACCTATCCAGGGGGGCTCTTCCATGTGGATTCTGCAAATTCTTATGGAGACTCTGGGAGGCATGGAGGCTCTTGCCAGAAGTAACTGAGTTCTGGAGGTATTCCTTATCCTGCCCCTCCACAGCCAGATCAAGAGAGTGCCATGGAGTTGGGAACACCTGCCTTTGGCACTGGTGGCTCTGGGACACTTGCTGCTGTGCCACCTGCCCCCGGGAATCCATTAATGGAATGGGCTGGGCTCCCACTGTGGCTGGATTAGCGGGATCTGCAGATACCCACTGCTCCAAGGAAGCAGGGAGTCTTATCCGTGGAGGCTCTGGGAAGGATGCAGGCTCCTGCCAGGAGTAACCGAGGTGCAGAGATATTCCTTATCCTGCTCCTCCACAGCCGGATCGAGAGAGAGCCTGGAGGTGGGAACATTTCTCTTTGCCACTGGAGGATCTTGTCCAGCACAATGCAGAAGGCCTTCCCATATGGCAGCATCCTGGGAGCCCTGGACTGGGCACCAACACTTGCTGCTTTGCCACTTGATCCTGGGAATGCCTTACTGGAACAGGCTTGTTGCTTTCCGTCCCTTCCTGGCCACGTGCACCCTCAGGGATGAGCGGGGTCTGCTGATAAAAAATATAAAATAAGACCCTTAATTTCCAGGAGCTACAAGCTGTAATCACACACAAGACATTTGTCATTTTTTGGTTTTGCAAAAGCTTGGGAAACTTTTCCCTTTTATACTTTTCCCTTCTGAACTCATCTCTTTCCTTTCTCTCCCTTCCTCTACTCAGAAGACCTTTCCTATGGTTTATTCCTGTACAGACTCTCTGATCCTTCCACAGGACTTTATAGAGATGTAGCTCAAAAAACTGCAAAAAATTAGATTTTTTTGGATTTTGATTTAGACTATGTTCAGATGATGAAACACGTATTTTACATTATCCTGAACTGGAAATTTGTTACATAATTAAGAGAAAATATATTAAGAAAGGTTTGAATAGCATAATTTAAAAAAAGGTTCATTACCTGTCCAATTGCCATAAAGTAAATCTGTATCTGTCATCTAAAGAGGAAAAAAGCTTTTTTTCCCCTTTTGATTTGACACACACATTTGGACTTTTTTTCCTGTATCAAATGAAGCAGAAAGAATATGTTATTACAGCTTTATTATTTCCTAAATGCATGATGTGTGCTACGGACCACCACTGAACTGTGCCAACATTCCTGCAGGCTGGATAAACTCAATGTAGATTTGCATCAAGAGCTATAAATCATTAACCATCCTCATGCCCTGAGGTGGAGCCCTGACCCCAGCAGTGCCTTCTCCTGACAGGTTCTCCATGTGTGCAGGCATCCTCCCTCCCCAGAGGTGTTCCAAGTCCCCCTCTCCCACTCCCCTCCATCCATCCATGGAATACTGACAATCCAGAATGGTTTATACACTGGGATGGATTTTTTCCTTTGGTAGATCTGTGGCAACCCAGAACTTGCTCAGCCTCTTGTGCCCTGTTCAAGTGGGCATCTGTCACTTTTCTTCCTGCAATAATCCAACCAAACTACTTTGTTACTCCTCCAAGTAACTACCAGAAGCTTTTGCTGTATTTTCCCATTATGTATCTATTTTATAAAACCCAAGGTTAATAAGTACCATTAAAAAAAAATAATAAAAAATGACAGACTTGTAGAAATCAAAGCCCTGCAGCCTGCTCAGCACACCTGATTCCTCCTCTCCACTGACCATCAGGAACAGGAGATTCCCATATTGCAGGGTCTCATCTGTAGATACTGGATTAAGGACTCACAACTTCTTAAGAAAAGCAACATTATAATCTCACTGTTCTGGAAGGGTTTTGTTATCACTTGGGTTTAAAAGCAAAGCCCTGTTGCCAGGACCAATTAATGCAGGACAGTGCTATAATGCCAAAGGTTATTTCTGTTGCTGCTTTTGTTACACTCTGTAATAACTTCTGTAGAGATCAGTGCTGGCAACAAGAATTCCAATGGTACACTCGTTTCATTTTTCAGACTTTGCATTTCAAGAATGGTGAATTTTTCTCGGAAACTTTGAAACGGTTGTAATGAACTGCCTCAGAGATTTTATTTTATTTATTTCTAAGGCAGAATTTTCAAATATATCCTTTGGGTATGCAAATAGTTGAATGAGTTGTAATGATTTTTATTTACAATTGGACATTTGCCCTGATTAATGTCCTAATTTATATTTTGCTAAATATGAGTTCTTTTGGTGTTGCCTTCTGTAAAAAATGGCTTTTCACTATTTTTTTTAAAAATATAACCCATAAGCATAAAGATGATCTCCTAAAGTGTTACAACCTTTTAAATCCACTTGTTCCCACAGAAGCACAGCATGCAAATATTACATCCAAAGATACTGATATTTACACCAGAAAGTTTTGACTTGATGAGAGTTCTACATAGTAATGAACAGAGAACCGGGTTTATGTGTCATGCAACTGTGGTGACCACGAACATACGCTCTTAGCTTTTATTTATTGTCCCCATTTATAACTGCCTGCCTTCCCTTCGTGGGGAACACAGGCCTGTATTTTGCATGGTCATTTTTTTTTACTTTGCAGCGTAGAGTAGGGGTAGAAGACCTTTTGGAGCCCAATAGTTTGATCCCCATTCAATTTGTTTATAGGTGCACAGAAATCAGGAGCTGGACTTGATGGTGCCGAAGGGCCCCTCCCAACTCAGCACATTCCATGAAGTCCAACTGTCCACCCAGCACTGCCCCAGGAACCCCCAAACCACTGAACCCTGTCCCTCAACGCCTCTGAAACACCTCCAGGGATGGGGACTCCACCTGGGCAGCCTATTCCAGCGCCCGGTGACCCCGTCGGTGAGAACAACTATTCCAATCTCTGACCTGGATCTGCCTGGCCTTGCCCAAGGCCATTTGGTCCTCCCAGCACTGGCTCCTTCCCAGCAGCCGCCTGAGGAGAAGGCGGCTCATGGCTCCCCTGTGCCCGCCAGCCGGCCCCGCTCGGCTCCAGATGGGGAGGGAACGTGCCCTACCATGCTTCCAGTCACTCCCAGCCACTCCCAGTATATCCCAGTTGCCTCCAACATGCTGCCAGGTGCTCCCAGTATGATCCCAGTTGCCCCACTTCTGGTCCCACTGGATCCAGTCCAGGTCTCGGTGTATCCCGGTGTTCCCTGTTCCCCCACCCCGGTGTCACCCCCTTTTCTCTCCCCACAGAGCTCCTGAGCCGCCGGCGGCCGCAGCTCCTCCCCGGGGCCTCAGGCCCAACCTGAACCCCCTCCATCCCCCCGAGGATTTTGGGGGGGTTGTGTGTCCCCCTCTCCCCTGCTGTCACTCTGCCTGTGCCCGGCTGCTCCCAGTGATCCCAGTAAAGCTTCCCAGTTCTCCCCATTCCTGGTTATTGGGGGGGCACTGAGGGAGGGGCTTGGGGGAATCCCAAAGGGTGGAGCCAAGTTTTGGGGGGGGCAGAACCGGCCCTGGGATGGATCAGGAATAGGGACCCCCCTGTGTCCCCCTGTGTCAATCCACTCTGGGGGGGCTTTGGGAGGGCACCTGCCCCTCAATAGGCACCCAGCTCACCCCAAAAGGTGCTGGGAACTCCCCAAAACCTCTGAACAGCCCCTCAAGGACCCCCAAACACACTCAAACCCCACCCAGGACCCCACCCAAACCCTTTTCTGGGGGACTTCTCTGGGCACTGATGGTGCTGGGAGCCCCCCCCGGCTGTGGGCGAGGAGCTCTCGGGTGAGTGGGTGTGGGAAGGGGGTGGTTGGTGGGAAAAGGGGGGGTCAGAGGGAATAAAGGAGTAGTGGGACCCCAAACTGAGTGGGAGGGGAGTGAGACTCCCCAAAAAAAGTGGAGGGGGAGGGGCACCGAGGTTTGGAGGATGATGGGAAATGGGTGGGAGAGGTCAGAAGAGTGGGAAAGGGAGGGTGGGACCCCCAAACTGAGCATGAGGGGAGTGAAGGGATAATGTGGAAAGGGTGGGAGAGGCAGGAAAAATGGGGTTGGGACTCCCAGAGTGATCCTGGGGGGGCTGGGGATTGAGGGGACCATGGAAAAGCGGAAGGAACAGGGAGAAGGGTGGGAAAGGGGGGATGGTCTGGTGGGTCCAATGTTCCCATGGGAGTCTATGGGCACAGGGCCATTGGCAAAAGGGGGTGGCCCCCCTGAGCTCCCAACTTACTGTGGGGTGCTGGGGGCTGCTGGATCCAATCTCAGCCTTGGATTATGCCAACACTTTCACTTTAGAGGAATTACAGAGGTGTGACTGAACCACTTTTGTCCCCCAGGTTTTAATGATGGCAAATCACATCTATTGATAGAAATGAATTATTTAGGGTTACAAAAGATCAGACAGAAGATCTTCATCAGAATTATTTACTACACAATACAAACACTAAAACTACCAAGAGTCCAGGACAAGATAGGACAGTGCTCTACACTAAAGCAAGTCTTGAAGCAATTCTACTCAAGCTGGCACAAAAGCAATAATTCTTAATTAGAGATGGATGGAACTCCCCCAGACCAACACTCCTGGGGAGATCTCTGCTCTCAACCTCCAGGAGTGACCTTGGGGGGGGTCCCCAGCCAAGGCAGGAATCTCCACACACACCCCATGAAGGGTTCTGTTGGAAGAACCTGCCTCTGTGAAAGGGGACTGGCCCTTTCTGGTAGAAAGGGATGGACTGACAATCACTGGACTCCAGGGGTTGCCTCACCATCAGGGGGTTCATTCAGGGTGGAAGCAGCGGCCAAAGCTCTTCCCGCAGTCGGGGCACTCGTGGGGCTTTCCTTACTGGTGGGTCCGTTGGTGTGAAGTCAAGGTAAAGCTCCTGGTGAAGCTCTTCCCACACTCCCCACACTTGTGGGGCCTCTCCCCGCTGTGGCTGCGCCGGTGCCTGATGAGGGTGGAGTTGCGGTTGAAGCTCTTCCCGCAGTCGGTGCAGCGGAAGGGCCTCTCATCTGTGTGTGTCCGCTCATGCCTGAGGACATCTGAGCTGGTCTGAAACCTCTTCCCACATTCCAAGCATTTGTAGGGCCGTTCCCCTGTGTGGATGAGCTGGTGGGCATGGAGGTGGGAGTTGATCTTGAAGCTCTTCCCGCATTCCCTACACATGTAGGGTCGCTCCCCAGTGTGGGTGTGCTGGTGTCTGATCAGGTCGGTGCTGTCCCTGAAGCTCTTCCCACATTCCACACACTTGTAGCGCCATTCCCCAGTGTGGGTGTGCTGGTGTCGGATCAGGTGGTCTCTCTTCCTGAAGCTCTTCCCACATTCCCCACACATGTAGGGCCGTTCCCCAGTGTGGATGTGCTGGTGGGTGAGGAGGTTGGTGCTCTTCCTGAAGCTCTTCCCACATTCCAAGCACTTGTAGGGTTTTTCCCTGCTGGGAGGCTGCTCAGGGACCACCAGCTCAGAGCTCCCCCTCAAGCTCCGGTCACCTTCCCGGCACAGGCTGGGTCTTTCCTCCTCAGAGCACCCTGGGCTGGCTTTGGAGCCCCTCCTGCGGGGGGATCTCTGGGCCTTTTCCTCCCCGCTGCCTTCCTGCGCCGTGGAGCCCTTCAAAACGGCCTCTCCCACCAGGCTCTGCCGGGGGGATTTGTCCTCCGGGCTCTCCGTCCTCAGCTCGGGGCCTGGGGCAGGAAGCAAGAAGGACAGGGAGGGGATTTGCCTCCGGCCCACAGGGAAGGCCAAGGACATCCCCCCAACTCCGGCCCCGGCAGGACGGCGGCGGCAGCGGGGTTGTCCTGCAGCCGGGGCCATGCTGGGCTGCCAGAGCCAGCACAACACCGGCCCAAAGGGCCACTGACTTCCTCCTCACCTGCCTGGGGGGCCCGTGGCATCTTCCTCTTCCTCACAGCCTCCTCCTCCATCCGCCCAAACTTTGGGAAGGACAAATCCTGAGGGGATGAAAACAAGGGCTGAGTGCGTTGGCTTGGGGGTTCCTCCTGCCCAAGTGCATCTCTAGAAGCCACTGGGCATCCTGTGACCATAAAAACCTCCAAAACACCAAGATTCAGGCAAAAAACCTCTCAGAAATAGCAAGATGAACTCCCTCACAAACTGCAAAAAGTTAAGGTTCAGGCAGTAAAATACTCCAAAATATGAAAATTAGCCCAAAAAAAAGGTGTTTAATTGGGAGGATGAGAAAGTGAGATGATTTCATGAGCACTTGATTGAGTTGAAATAAATTAATCAAGAGCTGTATTAATGTAGTGTCACTTAAAACTTGCCAGGGCTGTTACTCGAGGTTATCTGACCCTCTGCCAGTCTGGGGCTGTTTCTCCAAACCACCAAACCAAGTGTACCAAATGCCCTGGTTGTTTTATCCAACCCAGGGCTCCCCTGCTGCTGCCTCTGCTCCTGGCCCTGCCTTTGCTGCTCCCTTGGCTGGGCCAGCGGCTGCAGGGGGGGGGATGGCAGCAGCTTCAGCTCCACGGCACTTCCTGGGGGGAGCTCAGCCCGGGGGGGACGGGCAGGGACCTGATGGGGATGGACAGGGGCCCAGCAGGGACAGCCAGGGCCTGCAGGGGAAGGCACAGGGACAACCTGGCCCCCCACACTGCCAGGGCTGTCTCTGCTCCTCCTTGCAGGCTCCGTGGCCAGGCACAGTTTGTGTTCCTGGCTGCCACCATCTCAGCACTTGCAGCCGCTCAAATCAGCGCCCGCAGCTCTGCAGCAAAGCCCCAGCTCACCTGGCACACAGGGGATGGACACAGCACCTGCTTGGGGATGGGCACCTGTCGGGGGTTGACAGAGAACCTGTCAGCAGCCTGGCACTTATCGACGAAGCAGTCGATGTTGACCAGATCAAAGTGTACCCCTGAGATGGACTGAAAGAGAGGACTGAGGCCCTGATCCTGACAATATACTGATGCATCCTGAAGAAGCTGTCCCGTGAGAACAGGAACATTGTCTCATGAGAACAGAGACCTGTTTTGAACGAGAGTGGTCAGGAAAAACATCAGCATGAGAGAAAAATAAGAGCAGGTGCTCGGGACTGTTGTGGGAACCTCACAGGGCTGTTTTGAGAAAGAGCAAAGTTGTTGTGAGAAAGTAGAGTTTAGAAAATGCACCTATTAGCTGTAAGAATTCTGGTGTGTGAGTTTGAACTGTCCTATCCGTGTGGATTACGTGTGTTCAAAAACTGTACTTAAAGGGACTGCTAAGCAGCCCCGGTGTGCTTTCTTTTTCCTGGAAATAAACTTTGTTGGAACCTTTTTTATGTCGCATGGCCGTTCCTACCGCGACATATGGTGACCCCGACGTGATTACAGCGTTGAAGAAAACTCCGAGAGAGTTGCCGTGATTTCCCTCCTGGGAGAGGGGGAAGGAGCAGAAGATTTTTCTCTCCAAGAGGGAGAAGGGACCTGTGGGGCGAGGCACAGGGGGAACGGAGCCCGGTGAAGCTTGAGAGCGGGG